AAGAAAAGAAAAAACCACCTAGCATTAAACGTTTCAATAACCTTCTATGTTATTCAGGGGGGGAAAAATCCAAATTTCTTGTATTTGTATTATACAAAGCACTGAATAATCAGACTTAACTATTTCTCTAACCTCACTGTTCACATCAACTTGCCTCACCCTCGATCTGCACTAGCACCCCCTCTGTTTCTGGAACACATTAAATTCTTTCCTGCTTTGAAAACTTTGTACATGCATTTCTCTCAGTTTTTAACATGGTTCTTCCTAATTCTCTACTTCTTTTCTTAAATCTTAAAGATTACGTCCTCAGAGATGGTTTCCCAACCTACTCTACCTAAATGGGACCTTCCATGATTCTCATTATTATAGCATCCAATTTTTTTTCTTCACAGTACTTAGAAGGCAAGTGCAGGTCTCTCTCCATTAGAATGAGTCCTTTGAGAGAAGGGATCTTGTCCCCTAGGTCCATAGCTATGGATCTAAACATACTTGGCATATACAAAGCACTGAAATATATTGGGAGAAAGGAAGGGAGAAGGTCAAACTTAAATGCTAGTAGGTGACCAACAGATACTATTAAATTAACCAACGAACTTGTCTGCATTGTGGGATAAATTACCGTATCAATTAAAAATTAAAAAACACATAGCAAAATTGGTGATTCTGATTTTATAAAAGTTGATTATAGCAGTAATTAAGGAATGAATCCACTTGTCTTAGTAATAAAACCACAGTGATGAAAAAATTACCACAATTTAAGTTTAAAAATAGCAGAATATAAAATTGTGCTAAATTTTATAAAATAAATACGTTTAAAAGACTAGAAGGAAATACATTAAAATGTTAACAGATTATGTCTGGATGGTTTGATATATTTTCTTTTTTGCATCTTTCTGTATTTTTCAAATTCTCTACAATGAGCATATTATTACTCTTATAATCAAAACAAAATTGAACAAAAAGAGCAATTATCATACTATGCTGGCTCTAAAGCTATCCATAGCCATGAATGAAACATACTGACCAATTTTGCAAATTACTAAATAATAATACCTCATTTTTAAAAATCTTCAAATGACAGTCATTAAAGTTTACTTATTATTATAGTGCATTTTTTGCTAAATCTTTACCACTATCACTCTGCCACTTTTTCCTTTTAATCTTGGAAGTAGTTTAGTATGGTCAAAAACAAAGCAAAACAAACAAACAAAACCTTCTTTGCACTCCAGCTTCTAAATCCCAGCTCTATCATTATCTAGTTATGCATTACTGAGATACTACTTCACTGAGTTCAATTTTCCTCATCTGCTAAATGAGAATACCACCAATTAGAAGTATTTATAAAGCTCCATGCTTAGTGACTGGCTTTTAGTAGGGTCTAAATAAAGAATAGCTACTATAATCCATCAGAATATTACCTAGTAGATAGATTATAAGCACTCTGAGAGACCATGACCATCTAGCTCCACTGTATCCCTCCCTAGTCTAGCATTGAGCCAGTATGTAGGAGTTTTCAACACATACTTGTCAAACCAATTACTATCTTCACTACCTTTTTCAGGTAGAGCTGCATTAGGATTGTAGGGGATTATTACCTCCATCTGCCTAGTTATTTTAATGGAAAATTAGACTAAATCTTAAAAACTAGAGGAAATCAAAGATTAAATCAAAGATTAAATCATATACCTCCACATTATCCTATGGTAGTAGAAAATAAATGAGTAAACAAATAAGACAGAATTTTAGATAGGATAAGTAATATTATTAGTCATTTCTTATAATATTTCTTTCCATATTTTTACATAACATCACTACCTACTGACCTCCTGTTATAGTAGATGAAGAACTTTATCAATACCACATTGACGCTATCCTCCCACTAAATTTTATCCCAAGTTTTGGTTAAATTGATTGTAGTTTTTGCATTATTATGATTAGGAAAATACTGCTCACTGTAGAGCCAAGAAATGTACAATGATGATGCCTGATTTTAAAAAATTTTTCTTTTCCTACCATGTTCGTATCCTTACTCTTTTACATCAGGTATTATTTACTGATTAACACCTTTTTATTCCAATTGCTCAAACATATCTATTTAGTCTACTTTTATCTGGAAACCTCACTTTTGGTGAGGAAGAGAGGTCTACTTTCCTGTGTCCTCCTGCTCCAATTTGAACTGGATGCTCATAGCTTTGTTGTGCAGGTATCATCTTGGGATGGCCCTTCACTGCTTTCCTGTGTTAGATTCGCTTTTCCTCAGCTCTCAGCATGTTTTCTTTTTAATTACTTTTACTCCCTTTTGTTAGTGTACATGGTGTACTAACTTCCTAAAAAAGAGTGCATAAAAGATCTATCATTTTTTAATCTGTGTGGCAGACACACGATCCAACAGCCATTTCCAAACCCCTTCTCCTATGTACTATATAAAGGCTGGAAAAGCTAATCGCTTGCTTTCCCAGACTCTCTTGAAGCCAGGTTTCACAGTTCTAGTCAACGAAATGTAAGTAGGGAACTTTCTGGGTACGTTTTGCTCTCCTTCCTTTTTTCCTATCTGGAATGAAGACATGATGTTTGAGGTACTTCAGCCAACTTGCTACCATGAGGCTACAGCGAGTTAAAAATAGAAAAACAAAGATTAAAAAGAACCTGAAGGCCTTCATGACATTTCTTGAGTCACTACATCAGTCCCAGATTATCTACATCTGGATTTCTTGTCCAATGAGAGAAAAGATTCCCTATTTTTTAAGCCATTCTTCTCTTGGTTTTCTATTACTTGCAAACAAACACATACCCCACCAAGAAATGTGTCATATCTGAAAATACTATTTCTTCCTTCTTGGCTAGGAATAGAATTCCAGGTTGATGATAATTTTCCTTCAGAATTTTTAAGACCTTGTTTCCCCTTATCAGCTTCCAATGTTGCTGAAAATTCCTATCATTCTAAGACCTGTTCTTTTGAATCTAACCTTATTTTACAGTGGCAGCTTCTTGGATATTCTTTTTATGGCTGGTATGTAAAATTCCACAACGAACAATGATGTGCCTTCCGATTGAGAAGGTTTTTTTTTTTTTTTTCCTAAATTCAATGTACTGACTTCCAAAGGGGGCCATTTATAATTTGCAGACCAACACTTTCCAGTTTAGGAAATTTTTCTGTTAATTCTTTGTTTTATAATCTAGTCTCCTCCATTTCCTTGTTCTCCATAGTTGGAGAAACTGTTATGAGTTCAACACTGGACCTCCTATATTGATTTTCTAATATCCTTATTTTCTCCAATTTCCATCTCTGTCTCTGTCTATTTTTAGGGAGACAGATGTCTTACAACTCTCCTACTTTTTATTTGAACAAAATTTATTTCCAAAAGTCTCTGATCTTTCATTACATTCTATTATTGTTTTATGGATGCAGTATCCTTTTCTCTACCAAAAGTGATCTTGATCATTATTATTTTCATGTACTTGTGTTCAGTGCATCACTCCAGATTTCTGTTTTCAGGTTTGTTTTGATTTTGTCTCTCTCTTTCATAGGGAAGGTCCTAATACAGAAGATACTTAACTGACAGTTCATTAAGAGTGAAGAAATAGGGGCTTCCCTGGTGGCGCAGTGGTTGAGAGTCCTCCTGCTGATGCAGGGGACACGGGCTCATGCCCCGGTTCGGGAAGACACCACGTGCCGCGGAGCAGCTGGGCCCGTAAGCCATGGCCGCTGAGCCTGCGCGTCCGGAGCCTGTGCTCCGCAATGGGAGAGGCCGCAACAGTGAGAGGCCCGCATACCGCAAAAAAAAAAAAAGAGTGAAGAAATAAAATTTAATTGAAAACAGTATATGTACAACTGTAGGCAACACAGTAGGGGGACTGGGCCATGAAAGTAGCCACTGTACTGGCGGCCAACAGGCAAGATTAGACATTTTATGGGCGGGGGGGAGCATATCCCCAAACAAAAGTATCTGGAAATCTTTTTTATGAGGCCATATTTTTCTCCAGAGAAAGTGATACTAAGCTTTTGTAGGAGACACATGCCTAGCATCATGAGAGGAGGGAAATGGTTGGAAGGTCCACTGTTCAGTACCTGGACTCAATTCTATTTTCTACCCTGTTCCCTCTGCCTCCACAGAGCCTCTATTTCCCTCAGAAAATAAAGCTCTAGCCTCTGCCCAATGGGAAGTATGGGAGAAAGATCCTGAGGGTCAAACTACTTCACATGCACTTTTTCACGATGGTGCTATCTTTTGTTTTTCAAAAAAATTCCTCCTAAATATAAACAACTATTTTAAAAAATATATATATATATATATTTATAAATAATAGATAAAAGGAAAAGCAAGCTGATCTAATTTCTCACCCTACTGCTCTAGTTAGGCATTTTAAACCATTGGGTCTTAAACAAATACCATTCTTCTGTGTATACCAATCACAGGCAAAGTGACTACTAAGCAGGGTAACTATGTAAATTATCCAAAATAAGACACTTTTGAGAGTGAATGGGGCACTATTAATAATTATACATAAACTGGGATTATCTCAGGCAAACTAGTTACCCTATCACCAGGAGAATAACTTCCTGGATGCAGAGCTTGTAAAGCTATACAGCATTACCAATGAATTATGTGAAGTCTTCCCTCAGAACAAAGACATACTCTACTATATGTGCCTAATATACAAGTCACTTTAGTGAGGTGGAAAGAATCAGCAAATATAGGATAATACAGTTTTTAAGTTATTAATTCTTATAATCACCCATCACAAGCACACACATAATTCCTTTAGAAATTCACATATTGTCTTTCTGCTCAAAGGAAATCACAATAATAATTCATATAGTATTTTTAAACAGGTTGAATTAAATAGTTTAGCTGGTAGAGGGTTTTCTTCCTCTTAGAATCACTTCAGTTAAACAAATGGGAAAAGGATAAAGAATGGTTAGAAAGAAAAGAAAATGGGATATAGTCTTCTACCTAAAGTAATTAAGACATGAGAGAAGAATCACTAGATGCCTTTACCCATTCCAGAGTCTTTCTTGGTACCATCTGATATTATGTCTACATGATCAGAATCCACATCATAACTAAAGAAATCATTCAAATAGGTCTTTGATCGCTGGCCACCAAATACATATAAGCAACGATTTTTCTGAAAAATAAGAAAAAAAGGGCAAAGAAGAAAAAAGTCATTTCCACGAAGAATTCAGAATGATCCTTTTAAAATTTAAACCTCTAAAAAAGTAATTTCATGAGAGATTCCATGCAATGGAGTACTATACTGGTACAAAGCAGAATGAGGAAGCTCTCTATATACTGCTAAGAGGTAATCTCTAAGATATCCTATTAAAGTAAAAAAAAAGCAAGGTGCAGAATAATGGCTATAGGGTGCTGTCTTTGTGTAAGAAAGGAGAAAAAGTAATGTGTGTTGTGTTTGTTTCTTTCTTCAAAAAGAAACAAAGGAAACTAATAAAGGACAGCTATAGGGGAAGTGACAGAACAGGAAGACAGGGATAAAAACCATATATCTCCAAAAGGATACTGACTTACGGTTTTACCTTTAGAACTATGTATATGTTTTTACTTAATTAGAAAACAAAATTAACTTAAAAGAAAAAATAATCTTTGAAAAAAAGTGAAACAAATAAGCCTATATACAAAGCCTGTATACAAAGATACGATCACACAGAGACACATGATCACACAGAGAAGTAGTATTTCTAGTGATTTTAATTGTTTTTGACTCCCATCCCTAGTAGGCAATATCCTAAACAGAAAAATAATCAGAAAGCAATCTTAAACAGCACTCAGTGATTTTGTTGTTAGTTTTGCTATTCTGTAAACTATTACAGAAAGACAGAGCAAGTAACATATCGTCATTAGGAAGTAGGATTTTAACCTTAAAACATACACAAAAACAAAATCAAAGATTAAATTTTAAAACTCTATGATCTTAAATTTGACTTGGACATATCAGTATGAACTCATGATTTTTCTCTTACTAAAAAAGACATATACATATATGCGCGTGTCCATATATGCAAAGGTATACTGGGAGGTGGGCACTCCCACTGGCTGAAGATAGAAAAAAATTAAGGGATCAAAAAGAATAATGGGGCTCCCCTGGTGGCGCAGTGGTTGAGAGTCCGCCTGCTGATGCAGGGGACACGGGTTCGTGCCCCGGTATGGGAAGATCCCATGTGCCGCGGAGTGGCTGGGCCTGTGAGCCATGGCTGCTGAGCCTGCGCGTCCAGAGCCTGTGCTCCGCAACGGGAGAGGCCACAACAGTGAGAGGCCCATGTACCGCAAAAAAAAAAAAAAAAAAGAATAATGACAGCATTGGATTAGACACATAAAATAAATAAAAATCCACAAGTTCATAATAATACTTAAAAAGAAAAAACTACTGGTAAACTCTAGAGCCTCAGTTCATTAACATGAAAAGGTGATAGAGGAAAAGAATCAAACATTTATATTACCTATCCTGTGTGGTTTACATATTAGGGTAGCCAGTTAGTTAACGAGGATAAGCTTTTATAGTACAATCACAGTTAATAAATGAAGAAATTATGTAATTAGAAAAATGACCATTTTTCAAACCCTACTAAAATCTATGACTGTAGATTAGTCTATGACTATAGTCACTATAGTCTATGACTATCAGTGGCTGCTAAACCCATCAGATAACAAGTTGACAGGAAACTTTATAATTGATCAATCAGGCTGTTAACACCTAAACCCACCAGAACAATTTTAACATCACCGAAAGTATGACAACTACACATTAAATGTCTCTTTATATCTTGCAATCAGACCAGCTGTGAAGTACTCTTGCAACTCCCCTTTTGGCCTGCCCTAAAAAGCAGAGTGAATCTAAATTCAAGCCTCTGGATCTAAATACCAGCTCACAGGAAATACCGAAGATAGAGGATCATGTTAAATGACACCATGAGTATAAAATCGGTCAAACTGAGAAAATGGGAAATTCTAGATTTACCTGCTTTAACAAATAAGTGGTATACAGAGGGAAAAAAATAGGAGAGGGGAGTACTGTTATGGATTAGAAGAAATTTAAGAGCTTTAACAACCAAATGCAATACATAGACCTTTTCTGGATCCTGACTTGGATAAAACAACTATGAAAAGGTATTTTTCAGTATTTTAGGGAAAAAATGCATGCAATATTAAATGATATAAAGAAATCGTTTTTGTCAATACTTTGGTTGGGTTTTAAAATGATACTATAACTATGTTTTTAAAAAGTTCTTACCTGTTAGTGATACAATACGGTATTTATAGGTGTAATGATACAATGTCTGGAATTTGCTTCAAAATACCCCAACACAATAAAATTTAAGAATAAACTTAAAAATCAAAGAAACATTAAAAAAAAAGATATAAGTGGGTTAGATATATGAAAAATGAATAGTCGAATAATGATAACTGTTGAAACTGATAAATAAGTACATGGGAATTTATTATACTCTTCTCTTTACTTTGGTATATGTTAAAAATATTACACAGTGTATTTTTAAAGTTATGTTCACAGCAAGAAGCCCAAGTTTTCACTATAGCACATAAAAAGGTTAAAGAGGGCTTCCCTGGTGGTGCAGTGGTTGAGAGTCTGCCTGCTGATGCAGGGGACACGGGTTCGTGCCCCGGTCCGGGAGGATCCCACATGCCGCAGAGTGGCTGGGCCCGTGAGCCATGGCCGCTGAGCCTGCATGTCCGGGGGCTGTGCTCCGCAACGGGAGAGGCCACAACGGTGAGAGGCCCGCGTAACACAAAAAAAAAGGAAAAAAAAAAAAAAAAAAGGTTAAAGAAATGTCTGTATGCTGGTTTTTGCTGATAAATTTTAATTCTACTAAGTCAATTCTTAATTCTTTGCACTTAATGGAGAGTAGCAGAGGGGAAAATAAGAACAGATAAGAAAATTGATCTTCTAGACACTAAGAGAAAACAGTAAGTAGAAAGGTATATAAGAAAGAGAAATAGCTACTACATATAAGCCAGTGAAGTTAGTCATAAAAGTGCCTAGATTAGTATTCAGCTGATAACTACTTAGGAATTATTAGGTTGATAGAAGAATCTTATAATTAGCAAACAGTTCCGTGTTAAAGGTAACTTTGTTTTTGTCTATCACTGCCAACACATTTAATTCTAATGAAAAATTTTGCTCTCTTACTGAAGAATTAGATTTCACCACTTCTTTTCCTATTGAGAGATACATGACACAATAACATAAGACAATGTACAGAATATTCTTACTGAGTGGAATAGCATGCAGTGTCCTATACGAGACTGGATGTCCTCAGGCCCAGCATTACAGGAGTCCTCTCGAAGAAGTTTCCAGGTTTGACACTGACAGTTGAAAGCAAACAATCCACTGAATTGTGGTTCACTGGCTCTGCTGTCGTCTACACTGCCATTACATGTCAAAATTCTACCACCAAAGGTGTAGATCATATGTTTTTCTGAGTCCATACACATCTACAGAACAAGGCAACAGATTGAATAGTTTTAGATTGTTCCTATCATATGTGCTAAAATGAAACCAATGTGTGCGGTTTTAGAATCTCAAAGAAAGTGAACATTGTCTTAATAACACCAAATACCATCCCTGATTATCATATGCACTTATTAAAATACTGCTCAACACCTGGCAGAGATTCAGGATGGATTTCTAAATACCTTTTCAGGTTTCCATTTTTTTTCCAGTGAGAATAAAATACGCTGGGTTATGGAGCTTTATGCTTTCTTGAAGCTGCACAGTTTTTACCAAATCAACCAATAATACATTAGGTACTGACTTATAACTAAGAGTAAATACTGATCATACTCCGTGGGCAAACAGTGATCACATCCTCCTTATAAAAACAAAAACTCCCTTCTCTCCATTCTAGGCAAGCATTCTATTCCTCTTGCTACCATTTAATAAGAGAGAAGATATGTGAATAAGAGTAATGCAGCTTAATTCATCTCTCCGCATTTATTTTACAAAATTCTTCAAATTATGTTGTTACCAAATAGCAAAACAAACACAAGAAAAGACATTTGCAGCAATCAGTCTCCAGGTGAAACAAATTCTATTTCGAAGAATACGTAAGTCCAAGTTGGTAATTAGATGCTGAATACAAGTGGCATTTATGTTTAAACAATAAAGTGTATGTAAAACACCTATTTTTTTTATTGTTGTTGCTAAAGCACAAATACTAGCCATTATATGTTCAATTCTCTCCTCCATCAATTTACTCCTGCTACTTATCTATTTTTTGTATTGTTTTTAATAATAAACTATTAAAATAATTGTAAAGCTTATCTTAAAATTAATATTAAATATTAAAAAGAAAGGATTCTAGCGCCTCCTAATCTTTACCTACCACTAAAAAGATTCACTCACTTGCCATTTCCCAGGTTTCTGGCAGACTTCCATAAATTAAGATGAAAATCTACAATTCCTTAAGGGTGAAATATTCAGGAACATGGTTGAAAAACTGAGATGTCAAAGTTTTCATGTCCCTGGCACTACAAAGAAAAGTGATCCTACCCTTTAATCTTAAATGATTATATCATGAAAAGCAATCCATACATTGTTGAGGGACACACATAATGTGAGTCTATTTACATTTTCGTAAGTTCACAGATTCATACTAATTTGGTTCAATCTCTGTTATCTAGCCCCTATGGTTCTACTTTATATAGCTACAAAGGGAGCTTCTCTTTCCTTTTGGGGATATTTAAATTTCATTTTGATATAGCTATTCTCATTTGTTATCAGGGGAGAGGCATAAACATCTTTATCTTAGTAGCTCTTTCTTGCATAGCGACCAAACGAACCCAAAAAGGGACGAAGATACTGTTTAGCTTGATTCTTTCCCATATCTTAGAACAATGACACAGAACAGAAACAATTTTATTCCTTCAGCTTGGTTCTTCCCTGGATAAGACAGGTAGTTTCAATGAGGGTCAATTATCAAATAACAAGTTTTTGTTTGTTTGTTTGTTTTTGGTTTTTTTTGCGGGCCTCTCACTGTTGTGGCCTTTCCCGTTGCAGAGCACAGGCTCCGGACGCGTAGGCTCAGTGGCCATGGCTCACGGGCCCAGCTGCTCCACTGCATGTGGGATCTTCCCGGACCGGGGCATGAACCCGTGTCCGCTGCATCGGCAAGCGGACTCTCAACCACCGCGCCACCAGGGAAGCCCCAAATAACAAGTTTTAATCACTCTAGGAAACTTTATGTTGTTCATACAAGTTTTAATCACTCTAGGAAACTTTATGTTTTTCGTCAGTTTATGGTTTCCTTTTAACTTTTAATCTCTGAAAAATGTTTGAAAATCCAATGGCTTATTAAACTCTGTGAGATCACAGAATCTTTTCCCTCAAGACTTGAAGAAATCTTTTAAGCCTACTCTGTCAGGTTAGCTATTTAATTTCTAAAAGCAAATAAACAGGACTTCCCTGGTGGCGCAGCAGTTAAGAATCCGCCTGCCAATGCAGGGGACACAGGTTCCAGGCCTGGTCCCGGAAGATCCCACATGCTGCGGAGCAACTAAGCCCGTGGGCCACAACTACAAAGCCTGTGCTCTAGAGCCCACAAGCCACAACTACTGAAGCCTGCACACCTAGAGCCCGTGCTCTGCAACAAGAGAAGCCACCACAATGAGCCGCCCAGGCACTGCAACAAAAGAGTAGCCCCGCTCACCGCAACTAGAAAAAGCCTGCGCAGCAACAAAGATGCAACACAGCCATAAATAAATAAATAAGTAAATAATAAATAAATTAAAATAAAAGCAAATAAATAATGGATAGCCACTTATTCCCCACCCCGTCCCCAACTGCTTTTTAATTTGAAACCGTCTTTTTATTTTAGTTTATCACATGAACACAAAATTGGCTAGGGTTAGGTTGGGTTCAAGATAATTTCCTCCTCACAAAATCTGAAGCTATTGCTATAAAGCCTTCTAAGTAGTAGTGTCCAACCCACTACCCTACCTCCCGCCAACCTCCAAAAATGCCTCATGTTAATCTGACTCTTGCTTACCTACAAAGGTAACCAGTTTTCTCTGTAGCTTTTAGGATTTTCTCTTCTTCCTTGGTTCTGAAATTTCATTAAGGAAGTATCTAGGTAGGGATATTCTTTTTTCATTCATTCTGATCTGCACTTGGAATTTCTTTCATTCTGAAAACAATCTTTCTTCAGCTCTGAGAATTTTCTTCATTTTTACCTTGAGTGGTTTGTTCTTGTTGTTGTTGTTTTGGCCTCCATTCTCTTTCTAGAACTCCTATAAGGTGGATGTTGGAACTTCAGACCCTTTTCTCTGTTTAACTTTTCTCTCATAAACTTACCTCACTAATTTAGTAACCATTTAGAGGTATGTCCACACTGCCTTTTAATCTATTTACTGAGATTTTAATTTCACTATCAAATCTTTAATTTATAATTTTTCTATATATTTCCTTTTCATGAATGCAATAGCCTCCTGAATTGCTCTAAGAAATCACTTAAATTTATCTTAAAGACTTCTGCAATTTACACTACAAACTGTTCTTCTTTGTTGATTCTTAATTTGTTGAGTTCAGTACCTCACATCTCATAGTATTAATTATCTTCAAATATTTGGATTTGGGCGTTATTGTTTTAGTTGTCTTTGTATCTGAGAATCCCTATTCATCTGCCTGTTGCATATACAGTAGTCTACCTCAAGGTAAGGCAAGATGAGACATGATGCTGTGAAAGGTTCTGCAGCAGCTCTCCAGTGCCTCTTAGGAGTATTGCTCTATCTGTCCAGCTCCAATGACCACACTGAACACTTGACCTATTAATAATTATCACAGTTCAATGCTACTCAGTCAAACTGGAAAATGTCCTGCTGTTTCATCTCCAACTCATCATCTACTGTTTGCCCCAACTACATGCTTTGAGACTCAAGTTGCTGCTATCTTATAGGTTGTGGTTTCTTCTGGTTGGATCTGATCCTAACTGCTTTCTATTTGAGAAATTCCCTCAAATATTTTAAATTCCCTAAGGGTATTCCTTCTTCTTTTTCTACACTATTACTAATATATTCTCTTGTCATTTCACAGGATGTTGGGCAGGAGGAGGGTAAAAATATATGTTCAGCCTGCCAATGATCCACACTGACCCAGGGAGAATGCCAATGAGCTGAGATCTCCAATACTGTGATTAAAGTTTCTCCTGTCATTTCTTGATCAGCTCACATTCCATTTTCTAGCAATTTCCTCAAAATGTGCTTATATATGAAGGACAGTTTGGCTAGATATAAAACCCTTGGCTCACACTGTCTTTTCTTTGAATACCTTCTAGATATTGCTCTATTGTCTCTTGGCACTGAATACAGCGGTAGAGAAATCTGATATCAGTCTCATTTTACTTCTGGATAATTTCATCTAGTTGCCCAACAAATGGCCTCTTTATCTTTGAAATTCAGTGTTAGTAATATATATATCTTAGAGTTGAATGCCTAGGTCAATTTTCCCTATATTTATTAATATCAGGTCCTCTTATACTACGTGGAATAGGCTTCCTTCTTGAGGAAAGTCTTCTTGAATTTTATGTATAAATATTTCTTCTGTTCCATTGTTTTGGTTTTCTTCTTTAATGTCTCCAATTATGTGTACGTTGGCTCTCTTTTGCCTGCCTTCTCTATCTGTAATTTTCTGGCTAGCCCTTATATCTATATTTGTTTTCTTTACCTGCCTTTCTTATTTCTTATGACCCAAACCTATTCTTCTTTATGCTCCTTGTAAACTAGTCTTCATTTTTTGAAGTGTTACTATATTTTCCTTCAATTTCTTTCTTGAGATTTACCAGGTCCAGTTACACCTGCTCCTATTATTTGGCCATCATCTGCATTCTTGAATGTATGCCTTGAAGTTTTCTTCAGAGTTTCAAGCTTCATTAAGTCAATTAATTCATGTTAGAATATTGGAATATAATTTTCATCTGCTGTTGCATGAAAGAAAGTTTTTGCTATTCTTCCTTTTATTGTTTTTCTTTAGAGTACTTCTCTAAAGATTTGGTGTTTACTGCTTTTTAGTTTTTCATATTTAAATGAGCTGAATTCCCCTGGACCAGATAATACAAGGTTCCTATGGAAGTGTGACATTCTTGCTCAAGGACTTCCTCCTCTATTGCTACTGAACTGAATGGCTTCTTCAACATATGGCGCTTCTGTGAAGCCATCTTCTCTAACTATGAACCTCATCTGGTTTAGGGGGCTTCTATCTCGAGCCTTGAGCTCCCCCAGTTCCTTCAATGGACATGCATAAAGAGCCACTGTCCCCACAGGTCATAGTGTTTCCTTTGCTTTTGGAAGATGGTGCTTTCTGATATCTACCACTTATGGGCCTTGCTAGGCACTTTCCACATGGTATTTAACTGACTCCCCCAGTGGCTGCACTGGGTTCGATTTCTGCTCTGCTCATGACACTTCCATTACGACGTACTTCTGCTAAGCTTCCTCTACATTCCCAGTTCTCCCCATTACATTGCTCTGAGTTTCAATACAGGTTCTGGGTTTTCCAGTTGTTTTTGGCTAAACTTACAAGGAATTGGGAGTTGTGGGTTTTCTTTGGCTTCTGGCTTTGCTGAACATATGACTTGTGTTTTTTTAAAATCTTTTTGTTTGGTTCTCATTGTTCCTGAAAGATCACACAAAGCAACAACATGGAAAGCTTCAGAAGCTGCCACTGTGTCCTTAGGCAATACAAATGTCTTTGAATTTTAATTTTTTTAATATGTTAAAATTCAAAACGGCAAAGTAACTTTTAAGCATATCTTCAGGCCCCTTTCTCAGGTTCCTCTCAAATTTGAATGCTAAGTGTCAAATCTTAAAGTGTCACAAACAACTCCAAGTAATTTTTGGAGTTGGTTCCAACTTATAACTTTATTTTCATGAAACAGAACAGAAAATGGAGGCTTATACATTGTGTTAATTGTTCAAGGTCACAGAAGCAGCTGGTGGCTGAATTAGCACTGAAATCCTGGCTTCTTCACCCCTAGTGTTCTGTTAATAACACCTAATGAGTTGAAAACCAAGCATCATTGAACCTAGGCTTCAGGGAACATTCTGTTTTACCAAAGTCAAGAGAAACAAAGGCCCCACACAAGGACAGCATATGTGCTATACTCAGACTACCCCTAAGTTATTCTTTTTTTCAACCTGTAAAAACATAAGCCTCTTTTGGAAAAGAAATTTGTAACCAGTTGGAGGCAAGAAAATAAACTGTTTCCCTAACAACGTTATCTGCTGATGTTCTGTTTTTAAAAGATCAGAAGAAGTCTAACTTTTTTGGGAGTTCTTATTTTCCACATGAACGACACTGAGGATGTCAGCAGAGAAGTGCAAAGCTTTACAGAGCTCGGTTACGTACAGCCAGCACAAGTTCCAAATTCAATCTAGGGAGTACTCTGAAGACTAATGTTTTTGATTTTCCACCCACCACATACTCAATAGACATATAAGCCACTACTCTTTTCCTTATCATTCTCCTATTAAAACTACTTGTTAGTATAAATATGGCAGGAGGAAAGTTTTAAAGCAAAGAATTAACAAAAACTGGTAAAGAAACAATAAATAAAGACTTGGGTTTTAATGCCTAGATATTAGGCATAAGCTAGATTCTGTCATAAATTCTAGCACCACTCCCCATTTCTCAAGTAATACATAATGCTTTGTTCATCAATAGTGTTACAGATTTTTTAAAAGTCTTTTTCTTCCCCATACTCCAAAAACCTTTGGAAATGGGTTAAGCCAAGCAAAACTGCCTACAAAATTCAAAGGGGCTACTCTTTTGTTTGAGGTAGTACTGACCTGTACTGAACTGATATAAAATAAGTTTTCAAAGACAGATAACAATGATAATGGGGATGATGATATGACAGCTACATACATATTAATATTTAAATGGTTTAAGAGATTGCTGTATGTAGTCTTCTTGTCTACAACATCATTCTATGACTTCTATTGGTGCTGAATTTAAACTTCATCTAGTACACGCCAAGTTCTTATCTGTTTTATACTGAGTTTGTGATTATATACAAAAGTAAATATATTTCACTCGCACTGGAAGAAAAACTCTACATTTCCAGTTCTTGAACTCATTATAAAATAATTTAAAATTTTCCAGGAATGTAGAATAAAAAGTTTTAAAAGGGCAAGTTGTTATTGGTATGATTTATGAATATTGTAAAACTAAATGTTTTTCCTAATATGTATTGCTCCATCTACTCTCTATAAATTTTTTATAAATTAACAACTGTGTTTTGAGATCTTAGTATTTTATTCTTCACCAAACAAGAGAAAATAACTTTTAAAGAATAACTTTATATCTACTGAAACAGTAATTCTTTTTATTATATGTCATAGGTATTTGTAGTAGAAACCACCAATAGAAAACTCAGCATAACATGTGAAATAAACTCTAAGAGCAATAGTCACTGAGCACTAATTAATTCCACCATACAGTTATCTGTGCACCAAACCTGATGATCAAACACCAGTTTCGGTCCTCCATCAGCAGCAGTATCCTCACTGAGTAACATCCATGTGTTTGTGTCAATGTCATAACGATAGAAATCACTCTTCAGAGATTTGCTGTTCCTCACAGAGGAATCCAAATAACGCCCCAGTGTGTAGATTTGCCTTCGTTGAATGTCAATGCACATTTTATGACATGATCTAGCACTGGGACCATTCTGTGGAGAGCAAAAAAAAAGAATGAAAAGAAAAAAATTCAAAGAATAAATAACAGAAGACAAAATTAAATGCCCTTTTTTGTTTACTTTCATGAAAAGGTTTGCTCAGAATCTTGTATCAAGTCCAACTAATATATATGTCCAATACTAGGCTTAAATCTCTAGGGGAAAATAAAAGAAGCAGTAGGAGACACAAATCTTACTTAGAAAAGCTTAAACTCTACCAGGAAAGATGAGATGAACTATTCTCTATTCTATGGCACTCTGTTTATAACACTTATATGGCTTTTACTATATACTCCATTACATTTTTAGTCATTTGTGTATAGACCTTAATTCTTTTGTACGTGTCAATCTGCTTAAAGACACATTTGGTTTTTCAAAATATTTTTGTACGCTTCATCAGAATCTAGCATAAAACAGGCACTCCAAGAATATTTAGAATTTCATAATTGGTAGGAACCTTAATAGAAGTGTAGTTTAATGATCTCCTTTTAAAGATGAGGAGATATAAGCTCAAAGAGGAATGATATCATCCTGAAAGCTAGTAAGCTAGTGACAGAAGCAGAATGAGAATCCAAGTCTTGACTTCTTCATCCAGCCTTTACATTATATAAAATTGACTCTCCTGACAATGACTCAGCTCCATTAAACAACTAGGGAACAAAATGAAGAACAATATATTATCAATAAAAATTAATTAGTTGAGATCACTTGTATCACAGGACAGAATAAAAGGTAAAAAAAGAAAACAAACAACAAAAAACTGTAGTATAAGGCCCAAAAAAGGAGCTCATGAAAAAAAAAAAAAAGGGACTTCAATTGGGTAGGACTGGATTATCTGAAAGAGGGAAAAGGAAAGAGAACTAATATTTGTTAAATATCTACTAAATTCTGCCTATATTATTGCTATGTATGTGTGTATATATTTCATTTATCCTTGTAACAACTCCATAAAGAAATAATACCACCATTTCACAAAGTCTAAGTAATCTGTCTATAGTCACAAAACTAAGATAGAGAATCTAAGCCCCAGTGTAATCAAGCCAAACACTGTGTTCTTTCTACTCTTCCAGATGGTTTTCTCCCGAAGATAAGAGAAACAAAAGCAAAAATACACTAAATACAACGTGTGGGGTTATGACTGAGATAAAGAATTCCTGCCACAGAAATAACAGAGTTGAAGTATAACGTAGAAATAGAAAGCCGGTGAATGACTGACAGAGGACAACTGAATGTAATCTTGCAAGCATTAAAGAACTATTATAGGTTTCTAGAGAAGGATATAAAATAAAAAAGCAGTATTATAGGAAGAGTAATCCAGCATTATTTAGATTAAATGAAGGAATAAAAATATTACACAGGAAGAACAGTTTGACATTAGTGTTATTAATCCAGATATTAAGTTGATTTAAATCTGCAATTTAGTGTTCACACTAATTACTATTTTAAAAATTATTTTTAGAGATTTTTGTGAAGGGAAATCTTTAGCAGATAAGGTAGAAATGTTACTTAAGAAAGAATTTCCGCTCCAGCTGCCATCTTGCGTCCCTGTGTGTGTGCTCCTAACCTCAGCTGGTCTGCCCGAGAACCCCTAAGTGCCAACACTAGTCCCCTACATGGCCCCATTTCCACTGCAACAAGAAGAAAGAAACTATCATGAAGCAGGAGAATCCTCGACAAACTGCAGGCACAAATGCACAGTGGTGGGAAAGAAACTGCTTGCAGAAAGAAGGTGGTTCATAGAACAGCCACAGCAGACAACAAAAAACTTCAGTTCTCCTTAAAGAAGTTACGGGTAAACAATATCTCTGGTATTGAAGAAGTGAATATGTTCACAAACCAAGGGACAGTGATCCACTTTAACAAACCTAAAGTTCAGGCATCTCTGGCAGCAAACATCTTCACCATTACAGGCCATGCTGAGACAAAGCAGCTGACAGAATTGCTACCCATCACCTTAAACCACCTTGGTGCAGACAGTCTGACCAGTCTAAGGAGACTGGCTGAAGCTCTGCCCAAATAACCTGTGGATGGAAAAGCACCACTTGCCACTGGAGAGGACGACGATGATGAAGTTCCAGATCTTGTGGAGAATGTTGATGAGGCTTCCAAGAATGAAGCAAACTGAACTGAGTTAACTTCTGAAGAAGATAAATCTTGAAGAAGTTACTGGGAGCTGCTATTTTATATGACTGCTTTTTAAAATTTTGTTTATGGATCTGATAAAATCTAGATCTCTAATATTTTTAAGCCCAAGACCCTGGACACTGTGGCTCTTTTCGGTTTTTGCTTATATACAATTCATTCTTTGCAGCTAATTAAGCTGAAGAAGCCTGGGAATAAAGTTTAAAAAAAGTTAATAAAGTTCTTTGCCTAGTAAAAAAAAAAAGAAAGAAAGAATTTCCTCTGTAATTAAATAATCTAAAAAACAAGTATCAGGTAAGATATAATGTATCGATGCCATATTTCCTAGAGCGTAAAGTCTGAAGTTTTAATAGGAGAATAACAGAATTTCTTGCTTCAGCTTAATTAGCACAAGTGCTATTAAAATGATGAGCAAATTACTTCCTAAGGAGAAAAAAGGGAATAAAGGTAAGACTAGAAACCAAGAGACTACAGAACAGACAAAAAAATAGAGAAAATTAATAAAGTTTTTTTTGAAACATTCATAGAATTATAAACCACTAGCAAGACTAATTTTTTTTAAAGGGAGAAAATACAAATTGCCAGTATCAGAAATGAAAGCAATACTATCAATAGAAATTAAAAACAAAATAAGGAACTATCATTGAAAAACATAGTAAAATTTGACCATGTAGACAAAATGGACATATTCCTTGGAAAAAATATAACTTATTAAAATTGACACAAGATGAAAGAGAAAATCTGAAAACTTGGATTCATAATTTTAAATCTTTCCACAAAGAGAAGGCCAGCCAGATGCCTACACTCGTAAAATTTATCAAATACTTAAGGAAAAAATAGTATCAATTTTACACAAAATTTTTCAGAAAACAGAGGAAGAAAAAGATCTCCTTTTTTAAACTTGTATTTTATTCATTCCTAACTTACATATTTTATGAGGACAACATAACACTGAAACCAAATAACAATATTACAAAGGAGGAAGAGCAGAAGTAACATACAGGTAGCTAGTATACCTCATGAATACAGAAATAAAACTAATCTTTAACAAAATATCAAATAGAATACAGCAATATATAAGAATAATATTTCATAACTACAAGGGTTTTATTTCACAAATGCAAAGTCAATTTTACATTTGAAAATCAATCAAGGTAATTTTCCACATTAAAAGAGTAAAGGGGGAATTCCCTGGTGGTCCAGTAGTTAGGACTCTGTGCTTTCACTGCCGGGGCCTGGGTTCAATCCCTGGTCAGGGAACTAAGATCCTGCAAGCCGTGTGGTGTGGCCAAAAAAAAAAAAGTAAAAGAATAAAGGGGAAAAATACACAATCTTATCAATATATATATTGTAGAACAAGCACTTGATAAACCCAACAAATATTCATGAGGAAGAACTCACAGCAAACTAGGAATAGAAATGAACTTCCTCAATTTGATAAAGAATGTATGAAAATCCTAAATCTAATTTTCCCTTTAATGGTGAAATACAGAGTGCTTTCCTGCTAAGATGTGAAACAAAATAAGGATGTCTTTTCTCATCTCTTCTATTTAACACTGTACTGGAAGTCCAAATGAGTGCAATAAGGCATTAAAAAATAAAATTAAAAGTTATGACAGAAAAAGAGAGTGGAAAGAAAGAAGTTAAAATTGTCTCTATTCAGAGATGACAGGATGTTTAAAACATCCTAAGAAATCAACATATAATAGAAGAGAAACTGTTAGAAATAATAAATGGACTTAGAAAAGTGATATGATACAAACAAGTTGAAAATTAAAAATGTTTAAGTTTCATTTACAGTAGCATGGAAAAACAAAATACACTGGGATCCATTTAATAAAAATAAAAAGGACCTCTAATCTGCAAACTTCGAGTGCTGGGAGGTAATGAATAAGACTGAAATAAATGGAAATTTAACCCTGTTCATGGATTAGAAGGCTCAGTATCATTAAGACATCAATTATCTCCAAATTGATTTATAGACTGAATACATTTCCAATCATAAGTTCAACAGTTTTAGAAACTGACAATATGATTCTAAAATTTATATGAAGATGTAAAGGACCTAGAAGAGTCAAAATAATTTTTAAAAAGAATAACGAAAGTGTCTTACATACTTGACCTGAAGGAGTGTCATACTGGAATATGAATAGACCAAAAGGTCATGGAGCAGATTAGAGTGTCCAAAGAGAGACATATACTTATATGCTCAATTGATTTTTGAGAAAGGTGCCAAGCAGTTCAACAGGGAAAGAAGACAGGGAGCGACCAGAACTCTCATAAATTTCTGGAAGGAATATAAAATAGTACAACCACTTTGGGAAAAGCTTTAACAGTTTCATCAATGGATGCTAAAAGGGCAAAAGTTTGATGAGTAACAGAATATTTTCATAGTCTCAAAATGTCTCCTCATAAATTACTTATTAATATGGAGTGGGAAATCTGGTGAGCACCCTTCTTAACCAAGTGATCAAAGCTAACATCAGACAAACTGACATGATGTGCCTGTCTCCTGACAGGACATACTTAGGAGGACCCGATGTCCACATGGCATTCCT